TCCGTGGCAGGCGGGAATCGAACTCATGCGGAAGTGGCTTAAGCTTCTTTGTGCTGTGCTTTAACCCGCTGCGCCACCAAGGAGGGCCCTTCTCTTGTCATCTTAAATGCCGTTCTCCACACAGAAGCCACAAATATTTTATTTTCCTTTATTTAAGTAACACTGGTTAAGATTTAAGTGTCAGGTGGTGCCACATTATATTAGCACCACCATTTAGACCCCATCCCATCCACCAGTGCCCCCTTCTAACTACGACTTGGTTCTCTAAATCTAAAGTTTTTTATATTTAGCTTCAGTTTATTCATTTATTTTGTTTCTTTATCTTCCACCTATGTGTGAAATCATATAGTAATACGAACAGGACCAGAGTCTCCCCTTTTCTCACTGGCTTGCAAACTCTGTAAGAACTCACCTGCCCCTCTTAGATGCACAGTGCTTCTCCCCACTAACCCAGCCCCAGTGACTTTTCTTCCTCAAAGGCTTAGTTTCTCTTCCTATACTTATGAGTTCACGTTTCCCAGAGCCACTTACCATATTCTTCCTGAGAAGCATCCCTCAAACCTCTTAGTGATTATTTCTTTCTTGCCAGCTTTAGTTTCATCTCTTGCTATTTGTTAGATCTTTTTAGAAGATTTACTGTAAAATACTGATTTGACTAACCAGAAGAATGAACAGCTCCTGGTAAAAGTGATCTTTTAGAACCTTGCTGTTCTGGCAGAATTGATTTAAGGTAACACAAAATGCAGTTTACCTTCCTTCCACTCAGTTGCTGTTTGAGACCAAGTCAGAGGAAGGGGAAGCTATGTGTCCAGTGACGTGTGTTCAGTGTTGATGGGAGTAGGACATGGTTTTTCCTGATGGATCTTCCTGGCACTGAGGTGACTTGGAGTGGGGGGAGCATAAAAAACTAACAATGCAGCTTAAAAATTTTTTTTTTTTTTTGTTTGGTTGGCTTTTTTTTTTTTTTTTTTTTTTTTTTTTTTTTTTTTTTTTTTGGTTTTCTTTTATTTTGTTTTTAAATTATACCTGATCACAATGTCCAGAATATTTCTGTACACATAAGCTTCAGTTTCAGTTTGGCATATTTTTCTGTCTAAATTTATACTTATTGATAAATTCCCTGTGATCAGGAAAACAAGTCAGGCATATTAAATACATATTAAGGAGTACATATTTTCTTATTTAGTATACAAAGTACTTCATAAATATGAATTAGGTTACAAAAATAGCTTTGGGTGCGCTCACACGGTAAGCACTGTGCTAATTTTGGACAACCTTTAAGGATTGTGGGTATTTCACATAACTGAGAACAAACTCTAATGTTAATTTTAATTTGAGCCATGTCTAGTTTTGATAAACATCACGGATTTCTTCCGATCACCACAAACGCTATGTAACTCACGTTGATTTTTTTTTTTCTCTTTTGGGTTTTATGTATAGACAGGATATGCTTAAAGTGTTCAAATTTATTTTATAGTTATGTAATGCATGGAATATTTTAAACAAATATTTGCACAATTTAACATTATAAATCCAGCGGTTTCAAGATGCAGGCCATAAAGGTTACCGATTTACAAATACTACCGAATGTTCTCTCTTTGCATGCTTTTTTTTTTACTTTTCGGATAATCTTTACACAGAGTTGTTACAATGCCACAAATCAAAAGGATTATTCCAGTTCCACCAACTTAATCTACGTGCAAGATGAAGGACCCAGCTGAGGTACTAACACTGGTACCAGTTTTCTTGAGTTTGCTTTACAAAGCACAAAGAGACGAAGGTTTTGCATCGGGGTACAAAACAGATTTGCCTCTTGAGGTTAAATTCAGTGTATTATGTATATAAAGCATCCCTTTGGCAATAGAGTTTGCAGTATCCCCACAGGACTCCACAGTATAGGTTTTATGTAGTAAAATCTATTAAGGAAATTCGCTTCTATGGACACATCTTTGCAGCTACAGTTAACGAGACACCCTTGGAAACACCTGCCTCTATGCCTATCGATAACATAGTATTTGGAAGTGAGAAGTCAACACAAGGCACTTTCATCATTAAATAAATGTCCTCTGTATGCAGGGAGCTTACATGACCTAGATCTTGTTCAAAGCCGTTTGCTCCTCGAGGACCTGTAAGTAGTCAGGGGAACTCTGCAGCTTGGCCTTCAGTTCAAAGTACTCGCTGCTCTTCCTCTGCTCCACCACGATTTTACTGTGGTTGCCGCCTATCAGGGACTTCTTGTGTTTTTTGTCTTGTTGTTTTTCTGGGTAGCGGATCTCGAAGCCACTGACACCTATGCTGTTGTACTCCTTTTTGCTCTCGAGAAAATTCTGGATAAACACATTGGAATCCCTGCTTGGGAACAATTCATCCAGCTCATCAATTGTGCTCAGTCTCTTCCTGGTATCCACGTGCAATAAATCTTTCTCCTTGTCGGCAACGTTTCTCATAATGACTTTCTGTCCCGGGGGGTCTGAGAACATGAAGCCGGTCTCCGACTCCTGCAAGCCACACGTGTGGCTCTTGCTCATCTGCTCGATGGTCTGGGGGATGAAGGCCTCTGTGCCCAGCCCGTCCTTTTTGTTGCTTTTGTGGTCATGCTTCCTCAGCTGCAACTGCATGGAGCTGCACTCGGGATTCCCCAGGCCTTCGTGCTTCACCGTGGGCTTCTTGTTCCGTCTCAGCACGAACACCAGGAGGCAGAAAGCCACAAACACCGTCAAAATGAGGACCACTAAGATACTCAGGATTAGAATAGACAGAGGCACTGGGCCACCAGGAGGACTTCGGATGGGCCCCAGCGGCGTGGTGAATGACATGGCCGGCGCCGGACTCGTGAAGGGGGACGATGGCTTGTTTAAGAGCTTGGGGCACAAGATCTCATTTTTGAGGGACTTCAGTTCGATGTTGGCAAACTGGACCGGCGTCTCACATTTCAGTTCTTTCACCACGATGCCGTCGTTCAGCTTCTCCAGCCACAGCTTTAAGGCCACCAGGTCACAGGTACAGTCCCACGGGTTGCCCTCCAAGTCAATCTGGGTAAGAGACTGCAGCTGATCCAGGACCCCGCTGACCGGGAGGTACATGAACTTGTTGTTCCTCAAGTTCAGTCTAGCCAGGGGGGCTCCGGAGAAAATGTAAACGGGCAGGCTCTTCAGGAGATTATTGTTTAGATACAGTAACTGCAGGTTGGGCATAGCGTCAAAAGTGCCCGCTAAGATTTCCTTAATCAAATTGTATTCCAAATACAGATACTGCAGGTTGTGAAGTCCTGAAAAGATTTCGGGATACAGTCTCTCGATCTGATTGCCATTGAGGTACAGTCTGCGTAAATTGGTGAGATTGTGGAACACGTTCCCCTGGATGGCCGTGATCTGGTTGCTCCCTAAGTGGAGCAGATCCAGCCCCTCGAACTCGGTGAAGTCTGCGACGTGCACGTCCTTGATGCCATTGCCATTGACGTGCAACTTCTTGGCATTCAGAGGCTTCGGGGTCAGTTCAGACAGGGACTGGATATTTTTCTCCTGGCAGTTGACGCTCAGTCCCAAATCGGAAGGGTGTGTTTTGCAGAAGCAAAGCGCTGGGCATGGGGTCAGAGGGGGCACTCTTGTTTGGTAGGACACGATCTGACTGAGATTGCGGTTGGAGAGGGCCTTGCCCGCCACGATTCCAGAGATCTTGGAAGGATTCGTCGTTTTTGGTGGCTTGGTCACTAATCTGTGTAAGGATGTTTGGGTGCTGTGACCATTGGGGGTCGTGTAGCCATTTTCCAGCTGAGATGGGGGCAGGATTCGGACGTCGAAGTCACTGCCCGTGCCCATGGGGCATAGTTCTTGTTTGTTGGTTTCTTTGAGAAGCCTGCCATATAAGTCACTGGGAGTTTCACAGATAGCTTCTCCTATGTAAATATTATAGGGCATATTTTCCAGCCAAGCTTTTAAAGGCAACAAATCGCAGCTACAGTTCCAAGGGTTATCTTCTAGTTGCAATTCGACAACGCGGCCTATGTGTTCCAGAACTCCGATATAGGGGAGCTTCTGGATTCGGTTCCCTCGTATATCCAGATGGGTCAGAGATGCAAATCGGAAAATATTGTCAGGAAGGAATGAAATCAGATTGTCATTAAGAATGAGAACTTTCAGTTTGTGGAGCTTATTGAAGGCTCCTCGTTCAATATACTTGATTAAATTGTAGTCAGCCTGGAGATACTCCAAGTTCTCTATGCCAAGGAAAGTGTCAGCTCGGAGAATCTTTAATTCATTGTTGTTCAAGTGCAACTGCTTTAATGCACTGAGCCCAAGAAAGGCCCCTCCCTCAATGTTTTGCAGTTTATTGTTTCCCAGCTGCAGGGATACTGCGTGTGAAAAATTCAAGAATGTATTTGGATAGAGGATGTTTAAAAAATTGTTTTGGAAATTGAGGTGATAAAAATTAGACCAAGGCGGTTTCAGCTGATTTGGTCTGTAGACTGAAACCTTCTCACAGTTGACATAGAGCACATTCTCAACTGACACGCAGGAACACACATTGCAAATTTCCACTGATATGTCAGAGTCTGCATTTGTCGAAGAAATCAGGGCTGACAAAATCAGAAAGAGCCAAAGAAACATCTTCTTGCAATCAGCAAACAACTTTATGCTTCTGAATAAAGAGAAATAATCTAAAAAATAAAAAGAAAACATTTTTTCAATGATCATCACTTGAAAAACTATTTGTGTTTAAATCATACCATAGTGAACGCATGGCTCTGATTATTCCTTTTGGATTTTTAAGGCACCAAAAACTCCAAGTATTCTCACTCAGTTGAACAACAACCACCAAAGCTGCCATACATTTTATTGCCATACCTGGGGTTTATACAACATTGACATGTGCAGAACACACCACAGGCAGGACCAACGGCTGTTAATCACCCTTAAACCTCACTCTGAAAATCTGTTCTCTGCGTGGACGATCAAACTCTGCCCTTCAACCCAGACCTTAAGCTTCCTCTCTGCAGCTCGAATGGCCTGATCCCAGGCCCTGTAGTTAGCAACAGGCAGATATTTAAATTCGGAAATATCTGTTCCCAAGGCTTTAGCTTGCTGAGCAGCCAAGCAGACAGGAGAGCAGAGCCTCTGCTCCAAGGGATGGTGGCAACCAGAGAGCTGGGAGAGGGGGAAGGAGCCCGGGGAAAGAAATCTGCTTAAGCTTCAGCCCAAATGTGAGCACGCTGCCCTGAATCAGTTCACTCCTAAGAAACAGCGATGATCCCCTGAGCCTCTAGAAAAATAACCAAGTAGAGGACAGGCAAATTTTACTTCCAGGTAAATCACCAGTACCCACCTTCCTGCCAGCCATCTCCCAAACTGGTATATGGGGGAAACCTTTTGTCTTTGGGTCCCTGAAAGGAGGCCAGAAACCTGCTTGCTCCAGCACTGCCTTGCTGATGCCACATAGCTTTCTCACCCTCAAGAATTGGCTCCCTGCCTGCCTGGTCCTCTCCCTTCCTTCGGTGCCATCTGAACCCAAGCCCCCAGACAGAAACCTGGCTCAAAAACTTATCTCCTTCACTTTCACCACAGACTGCACAGTGGGGAAGGGCCCACAGGCCAGTGTCCATAGGGGTGGATCTGCAGCAGCAGATACATTCAGTACAGCAGAGGTCTGCCCCGCAACCCTCAGCACCGGACAAGTATCACCGCCCTGTCACTCTGCCTACAAACACATCAAGAATTACTGTGTGGAGTTAATGCTTACCAAATTAACCCTTTGCAGGCGGCTCCTGAAATAACTGACACATACACAAATACAGGCAGGGCTTCATGCAAAATATTACAAGGGACAACAAGCACTGTGTGTTTGACTGATGCAGTGTTAGCCACGGGAATCTTTTGCATTCTGAATGGGAAGCTGGCTGCAATTCCAATATGGTGACCACCAAATATTAATTCAACAAATAAATTACCCTGGAACACACAATGAGGGAATGTTACAAAGAAAGATGTGTCACACAGAAAGTCCTTTGTTTATTTTGCCCAGGCAGAAATCAGCTAGTTGCAAAACTGAACTGTTTCAAGGTAGACAGCCTTTAGTCCCCACGGGGAAGATCTGCATTTGGAGTACTTAGGTTCAGACACCCGGGGCTGCCATACAGACTTGCATTTCCCCTGTTCGCCTTGGTAGCTCTGTTGGCAGTGCAAAAAGAAGTCACAATTCTTAAGTATGACATCATCCAAAGCAACTTTCATTGTAAAAGCGAAATTTCACTTGGTCTTTCTGCCTTGCTATAGATGTGATTTTCAAGCGCTATTCTGACTCAGTGGAGTCATTTCTTGTTACTACCCACCCCCACCCAAGAAAACAAAAGCATTCAAACTAAAACAACAACGCAAAACCAAACAACCCTGATAGCCTGAATTCTGTACGAAAACAAGAACAAGGAGCGTTAGCAGATCTGAAATTGCATAAGGAGCTGCTCTCCTCCTCCTAATTTCTACTTTAAGTAGCAAAGGGTTGGGGGGAGGGGGCGGCGCAAGGACAAGCTAGCAAGTTCCCAAATGCAGCTTGCGCGAACCAGAGGTAGCCGCAGGCGGCTGGAGGCTGGAGCCAGAGGGGAAGTCCTCCACCAAGAGAGAAGGGAAGAGGGACCGAAAGGGCTAGGGACCAGGCAAAAGTGGAGAGAGGAAGGGAAAATGCTAGCAGAAGGGAGCCAGGAAGCGGGCGAAGGAGCACTGAATGCCAGCGAAGGCAACCTCGCATTCACAGGGTACCACCAGCACACGCACATGTTAACATCAGCGTTCCCCGGGAAAAAAAAAAAAAAAAGGAAAAAAGGCACAAAGTACGAGTTGAGTACCAAAAGCCATCTCCCCGGCGGCTAGGAGCGGTGCGTCCCGCTCTCGGTCTCGGGTCTCCT